AGGAGGGGAAGGGGTGTGGCAAAAGAGCTGACATTGATTCAATGTTGTTTCAATCATTCTGTGCTATCTGGGAAGTGTTGTCACTAAATGCTGTCACTATCACACTTCATGTGGTCAGCTGGAGGTTTTCCTGTGTAAAGGAAGATCTATTTTTTCACCATTATCACCACATGCTTGTTCAGGATGTGGGAGTGCAGCAAAGTCCAACACTTGATGCAAATGACTTTTTATCTGTTCATATTAAATGTGGATGGTCATTATCAATGTCTGAAGTGTACAGTAACTTTTATTGAATTATACTACCTTTAACTGGATCAGAATTTGTACACTGTGCCAGAATTAGGTTGGTTTGAATCTGAACCAAATCGGATATAATTGTAAATGCGTTTAATTTTCATCATGAAAACTACGTTTGTTGTCAATTGGAATTACATACTAAACTTAAATGAATGCGATTTAATTAGGAACGTGTCTGCTCTGCCTGCCTGTAGTGAATGTCCCTGATTGGCCCGAATCTGCAGCCGGCCATCCTCTGGGTGGGAGCGGAGCTTGAAGCGCTGCTTGTCACTTGTGGATACGACTCTCTCTACGTCTTCTAATGTGTACAAGTGGAACTGTGGGTGAGCCAGGAGGTCCTCCACAAACAGGAAGCCATCTGTGGAGATACAAGTTGTTACAGCTATGGTCACATTTTACAGTTTAGTTTGAGTAAATCTACATGATATTTTTAAATTGTTTCCATGATGCAACATTTTTATATATCATTGACTAGACATCTGTTGAGTGAAACATTATTGTTGTCAAAAATAAATCAAATTCATTTCAGTTTATTTACATAGAACTAATTCACAACACATCATCTCAATGCACTTCCCCCTAAGATTGAGTTCAGTCACACAATCAAACGACGCAGTCAAGTTCAGTTCATTACTAAAATTGTTTTAAGAAGTTTATTATCAGCAGAAACTACAACTGCAATTAACTTTAAACTCTTGCAAGCCCATAGAAAATACTCCTAGTTCAGTTCTTCTGTGTTTAGCCGTGTCTCTCTCCTGGACGAATTGATCATAAGAAAGTCATTCAATTCTGTCTGAAACGGTGAAAGTGTCACTCACCTGTGGCCATTTGAAGTCCCATCTGTGTGGCTCCATGACGAAGCACATAAGACATGGATTTAGACAGATGAACATCTTTGTCCTGGTGGTAAAGAAGGTCTCATTTGATACACACTCAACTCTCTTCCAAACCTAATAATAGCTCTGTTTTATATTTAGAACCAAGCTTGCACTGTGTCAAATCTGTCATGCTGCCTGACAGCCAAAAGTACACATTTTTAAAATCAAAACTTAGGGAGGCAACACATTGGCAAACTGGTTCAATAAATAGGGATCTCACCTCCTCACTACGCTTCCCTCTGCCTCCTCTTTTTCCTCCTCTTCCTCTTCCTCTGTCCATTAAAATACAGGTAGATCAGATCTTGTGCAGGAAATTTAGGAACGAGTTATTAATTGAATTAATTTACATTTTACCGTGACAACTTTACGCTTTATTTAGTAGTGTCAGCCCTGCTCTATAATTATATTTAATGAGCAGTCGCCCATATTATTTTGGTCAGTAGATTCAGCAATCGTCCTTGTTTCCACTTCCTGTCTGTTTCACACCTCCGCCTGTAGGTGGCAGCACATCCTTATGCGGTGAAGTGGCACCACAGAGGAAAAACCGCAGCCATTGTTGAGAAACATAACAGTTGATACAGGTAAATTAATGTAGTATTTACATTTAATATAAGGCGACGAAGAAGCGTTTAAACGAATTGTTTCTGGTTCAACTCCCACTCAGCCTCAAAGCTTCCGGCGCTAAAATTTTAACTCAGGCGCTGAGCTAATTTTGCTAACTAGTGTTAGCATAGTTGTGCTAATGCTAATGTTTTTGTGCTTGAATAATATTCGGAGATATTCGTGGTTTTTACCTGATGTGCACAATGTTGTGAGGGACGTTTCGGTTTTTTATCTGCAATGCATACCTTGTTAATATATGTCATACGTTAAGGTTCAGTCCTTTTCTTTGGACGCAGAAATTCAGCCTGGTTGCCATGGAGAATAGGATACGGTAAAGCAGAGCAGCACTTGGAAGATTCAGCAGCCAGAAAGGAGTTTGGAGACGGAAGCATTCTGTCTTCATCGTGAGTTATTGGTTTTTTTCCACATACATACATACATACATACATATATATATATATATATCTGTTTGGGGTTAACAGGATGTATATGCATCATCTGAGCATTTTGTCCTGAAATATACTTGGAAACAGAAATAATGAGCAAACGTGTAGATTTGAGTTTCACAAAGACCAAATTATGATTGCTAGACGACAGAACCAATTGTCAGAACAGAACCAAAATTGCGGCTTTTTTTAGGGTGTTACTTGTCTGGTCTGTATATAAGAAAGAAGAAAAAGTGGTGAGCCAGTGACACGGTCATGGACAGCAAAGGTTCATTGATGAAAGTGAACCATGACCTGATCTGATCAATTTTCTGGGAAACTCATGACATCTGGGGACAACAAGCTTGTTAAAGTGATGGAATGCCTAAGGGAAGTTTTTGCTGTGAAACATTTGGCTCTACATTTGGTTTGAATGTTACTTGTATGGTTGCAGACCATTTACACAATTTTATTTCATTTGCATCCAACCGGTGTGAAAACAAAAATATTTCAAGAAGAATTAAAGGAATAAAACAAGTTTCAGATGTTGGCTTAGCCTCCAGATTTCCCAGATCGCAACACAATCAAGCATCTGTAGCATATGCTAGACATACAAGTCTGATTCAAGTGTTCCCAACCTGCAACTTTCAGAACGTGGCATGTTTCTACTAGAAAGGCAATGCTGAGTTGGATTAGACATGTGCTGAGTTGACGTAATCAACAAAAGATGTTAATTGTAGAGGTGCCAGGGAGGACAAAAACAGAAATTAAACATTTTCTTGTTAATCCATATGCCACATTTTTGCATCAATTAACTTGAAACATTATTGTTGTGTTTTATTCAGAACCTTTTGAGGGATTTTTTTTGTTTGTTTTATCTTTCTACAGTTGATTTGTACTCCCTTCTTATCTCAGGTCATGGAGTTTCCTCAGCATTCCCAGCAGTTGCTCTCAGCTCTGCGTTCCCAGCGGCAGCGGGGCTTCCTTTGCGATTGCACCGTACAAGTGGGTTCATCCCGTTTCCTGGCTCACCGGGCGGTTTTGGCCTCATGCTCGCCTTTCTTTCACATGTTTTACTCAGACTCTCCAGCGGGGAGCAGCACCAGCAGCTGTGTCACACTTGACAATGACATTGTCACATCTGCTGCATTTGGCTTGCTTTTGGACTTTGTCTATGAAGGTGTGCTGCAACTGGACGAGTCTCCTCCTGTGGAGGACATCTTGGCTGCCGCAAGCTTTCTGCACATGAACGAGGTGGTGAGAGTGTGTAAGAGGCGGCTGCAGAGGCGCGGGCCCCTGGCTGAGGCCGACAGCACACGCTCTGAAGAGAGCGGCGGGTTGAGGAAGGTACCAGAAGCAGCTTGTGGTCACCCAGCTGAGTCCCTGGTGGCCATGGTTGCAGACCACTCAAATCCAGTGACCACAGCAGTGCCTTTGTCCTCAGTATCTGAAGTGGCAGATGGGACTCAGTTGGAGTGTGTGAAGTCTGAGCAGAGGACAGGTGGAAGTTCATCAAAGATACAAACTCCTCTGAGCCCTGACCTTGCTGATACCACCCAGCCAGGCATGGACTGTCCTCCTTTGCCCCCAGCAGGGGAGCTGGTGCAGAGCCAGACAAACATATCTGCCTTTGTCCCTGTAAGTCTCACCAAGATGAGCACAGGGGGTCAAGGCGAAGGATCTGCTCTCTGCAGTCCATGCAGCACCACAGAGACATACAGGTAATGGTCTCTTGTTCCTTCCCCGTTTTAATCAATCTAAATTAAAATATGTGTGTCCTCCATCTTTACCTCCAGTTATTATACTTTACAAAGGTTTTTACTTTGTGGTTTCTGTGTAGATTATCCAAAAATTAAAAATCTGAAACATCTTTGTACAGTGAACATAGTTGGTCTGAGAAACCCCACTAACAAACTTACATATATGTAAGTTTGATAGTGGTTTGTTACTAACATATATGTTAGTTCCTAATACTAACATATATGTTAGTGCAAGGATTTATGGTGCAGATTAGCATTGCCTAACCCCATGTTAGAATGTTTTGATTTAAAATACTTAGAAATGGATCACATAAAGAAGGCTGTTATAACAACAAAACATTTTAAACTGTCTTTAGCATGTTATATTAGCATGTAGCACTTATTAGTACTTAACGGTAGTAGTTGTGAAGATGAGTCTGTGGGTGTATTCCTTGTAAGAGGACAGAAACTCTGACCTCACCTATTAGATTTCAGTAACACTGTCGAAATTAAGCTGTCATGAAGCAGAAAACGGCTAATTTTTTTAGTGTTCTTCCTGCAGTAAAAACTTCCACACAGAAGAGTGTTGTGATAATGATGCTTTCACTGATGGGGCCAAAATCAGACTTTTGAGTTTCTGGTTGAGTTTTATCATGAGTCTGAGCAGGTCAATCTGATAATCAGCTGAATCCTCTGTTCATCTCCACAGATTGTTACTGTTTATTACTTAAGTGAAGGAACAAACAAGCAGTTAATGAGTGAATTGACCCGTGACCTGGATTCCCAAAACATGTATTTTTGTGTTATTAAATAAAATGAGTAAGTGACAACATCTGCATAAAACATAACATTGATTTCTTTTAATGTACAGATTACTGATGGCTTTATTAGGTAATCCAAGGTATTCTGGTCTCTGTTCTTTATATCTGATTTTGAGTCTGTTTATCTGTTTTTAACCAGCTACAGTGCGATCCAGCAGCCTTCCTCCTCTTCCTCCTCTCTGCTTCCTCAGAGCCAGTCTGGTGTTCGGTCTGTAGTCTCTCTCAACGTTTCAGAATCCCACCTTTCCGTCGGAGGACATCCAGAACAGCTCAGACCGTGTGCTGACCGTCCTGCTGAGAATCTCTCTGAGACTGACCACAGAAACATTCTTACCAGAGAACAGAGGATGGTCAAGTCAATCCAAGCACCCACCCTGACCAAAAACTTCCAGACCAACTCCAGACAGTCGGCTCTTCAACAAGCACCATTACAAATCAGAATCCAGAGCGCAGTAACGCTCCAGCATCAGAGCTCAGACCTTCAACGCGCTCCTCAAATGCGAACGCTTCAACGTCCAGAGGACAAAACCGAAGCGCCGCTTGTGGCTGGAAGACGATCACATCCTCCAGGTGGAGCGAGGACAGGAGACAATGAAGAGATTTTGAAAATCAAAGAAGAGGCAATTATTATTTCTGATGAAGAGCTAGAGGAGGAGAAAGAAGACATCGGGGAGAAAGAATCGGTGATGGATGTGGAAGAGGAATACGAGGAGGATATCCAGGAAGAAGAGCTGAATAGTCCTCATTTTGTTTCCACACATTCACAGGGACTCCTACAAATAAACCCTCATTCAAATGACTACTCCTTCCCCCTCTCACCCTCTTCCTCATCTTCGGGCGTCGGACCCTCCTCCCAGGACACTTCCTCCTTCGCTTCCTCCCTTGTTCCTCCGTCCTCCTCTCAGCAACATCCGGACCCTCCCGGCTACTTCCAAGAACTCCAGGACTCCATGGGAAACTTCGTTGAAGACGTGCCAACATGTGGGGTCTGTGGGAAGACATTTTCATGCACATATACTCTAAGACGCCACGCCATTGTGCACACACGCGAACGGCCTTACGAGTGCCGCTACTGTTACAGGAGCTACACGCAGTCTGGGGATTTGTACCGACACATCCGCAAAGCTCACGACCAGACGCTGCCCGCTAAACGCAGCAAGGGAGACACAGAGGGACCCCTGCTGCCGCAGCCCCCTCCTCACTGCTAACACGCTCCCCACTTATTCCCAAATATGTGAACTTTAACCTGATCTATTAACACTAAATCAAAACTTACATTTAGTAGTGGAACAACTAGGCCTGTCACGGTAACAAATTTTGCTCAAAAATTATTGCGATAAACGGTAATATTGTTTAAAGAGCTTTTTATACTGATTTAATGGAAATGACATAATAATGCAAGTGATACCCTGCCAAAAATAGATACATGTTATTTTCAAAAGAACATTTAATACTGGAACTGGTAAACAAAACAACCAAAAACGAAAATAAAATTAACTCTGAATCTCCGTTAACAAAAAATGCTCTTGAATAATAACTAAACAACATAAAACCAAAGTGGAAATAAAAACTACATTCAACCAAAAGAGTGCAGATTATGAAGTCTGTATACTATAAATCATTAGATTTAGATAGAGAAGAATAGAGAAGTTTGGCATCTCTGACGACCTGATGCAATACTTCACTCCTCCCTTAAGCCCAGTTCACATTACACGATTTTTTTTTTTTTGCCCCAATTTTCCCCTTATGACAATCTTATAATCTTAATCTTTCCAACATTGTCGCTTGTCGCTTCGTAGCCGATCATCCTGTAGGATGATAATTTTCATTTATCAAGCGATTGATTTATTGTTTATCGTGACAGGCCTAGACAACTAACAATTTTTATGATCATTTATTTGAGTTTGATTGTCTTTTGCGATGTTTTTAAAACATTCAACAATGTTATTTTGTGGACAAAGAGTTTTCAGCAAACAAAGTTAATTAAGTTTATGCTTGTGTGATTATCTGTTGAAAAACCCCAGAAAAAAATTGGACTAGAATCACATTGACACCTGACGGTAAATGCAATATGCAGTTCATTACTAAAGTAGCCGTAACTCTTGACCTGTTTGACATTTAGTGATGTTAAAACTGCAACCTTTGTAGGACACAAAGTACAAAAATGAACATTATCTATTATTCACTGCACAAACCCATGTTTAAAACATGTGGTTTAAAAATTAAGTGAGTAATAAAGTAAATAATTTAGGAATAATCTAAAGCTTAGATTTAATTGATCCTAGAAGTTGAGCAGTTGTTTTTTTGTTATTGTTACACTTACTGGTATTATTCAGGTTTATTTTTGCCCTTTTCACAGATTGTTGGTTCAGGTTATGAATATCAAACTAACCTAATGGTTCAGTTTCACACCGAGGTTAATATTTGCTACTGTGTTAAAAAAAAGCTTTTTCAAAAGATTGCACAGTTAAGAAATGATCGATAAAGACCAAAAAGCCTCTCCTAACAGCAGCAGCGGTTGAATCTCCTCGTAAGCACAAAAGCAAAACATGCTTCAGTGGTTTGAGTATCTGCTTGACTAACATCGACATATCGCTGTAAGAAAACCATGAAAAATTTTACCTCCTACTTTTTATATCTGAAGAGCATTTTATAGTTTAGGTTGTAACAAATTATTTTGTCATTGTGAGTTCAGTTTGATAGTCTCATATGGTCGTAACAATTGGTTATTAATGAGCTTTATTAAAACATTATAAAGAATTGTACACCAAGTTGTTTACCATGCAAGTTAAAAAAGGAATTGATATTATATAAGTTGTACTATGTATTGGTGTCCTGTTACTGTGAGCCAGCAGATTTAGATGGAGATAATGTTAATGTTGTGTTTTGCTATCAACAGGATGAAGCTAAAAGTTGGTCACATTTCTGATGCATCTCTTTCCTGTAGAAGGTAAATTTCCGACAGTATTTATTCACTCCATTTTGCTTCGCATTTCATTCTTTGAGTACATTAAACAAACCATTCCAGGTTTCAGCTGATTCATTCTGCAACAGTCAGGACAATCCGTTAACATTTAGATTCACTAAACACCTGCACTTTTAATGGACCAACATTGGCTCACGTCAAACCGTTCTTCACTACACCCACTTCATGCCTTTAACCGGAGGCAGGAAACCAGATGAAGGGTGGAGTAAAAAAAAAAGGAGGTAATCCACTAAATGTTTGCCTTATCTTAATGTCTTTGTATGTGCCTGATTGAGTCTGTGGAAGTTCTTGTTCTGCACTATTTAAAATGTTTCAAGACACTTTCTATAAAAAAAAATGTTGAAATTACTGTTAAAAAAAGAGTTTTAAACTGATACTTTTAATGGACAACAGCAGTGATCATTTAGACGGTTTTGTGAGTGCTAATGTCCAATATATAAATGTCACGTTGTGAATAAATGGTGTTCTGTGGCACAAATGTTTGATTTTTTTACTAATTCACAAAATTCTCTTCAGCTGGTGTTTTAGTTTTTTTTATTTACAAAAAAAACCCAAAACATTTTATTGCTCTGAGACAGGAACACTATATAGATTAAGCAGCAATAAGTGGGCTTTGCTTGTGTCACATGTAATCAGCCTCAAGTGTCTTCAGTCTTCAACTGTCCCATGGATCTGTGAAAATACAGAAGATGAACATCAGCCAACATGCGCAACCTCTTAGATTCAGATTTTATTCCAGAAAAAATTGATAGAAATGAAGGATTGCTGTCAAACACACAGTTCAATTGGGAGTATTTATTACACTCAAGGGTAAGAATCTTTTAAAGTTTGTTAGTTCAATGATTTATATGAAGGTTTTTTTGTTTTTGTTTTTTTTTGTCAGAGTGGAATAATATAAAATATTATTTCAGTGTTTTTACAAAAAATGAGAATTTGGTGTGAATTTTCTTGTGCACACACAGGCTCAAATATATGCATACAACCTCAGTAATATTTGAATTATTATAGTTTCAAAATAAAGTCCATCAATGACTCACTGCCTCAGCCAGCTCGGGCCAGTCCATCGCCATCACCACGATGTCGTCTGAAGTCGGAGGCGTTTCCAGGTTCCAGTAGGTGAGCTTGTCAAACACCGAGGTCACCTTCACCTTCCTGTCCTGTGGACAGAGAGTCATTGGCTTGTATCTGATGTTCTGCCTCTCATGGACGGTGGATTTCCACGTTTTCATGAGCCAGAGAGTTGGAGAGGTTTCCGCTGCTGTGGAGAGCATGAGCTTACCTCCTGGTCAGAGCCGTGTCTGTCGACCTCCTTCAGAACCAGACCCGTGTGGCCCTGAGGACAGCTGATCTCCTGTCCCTTTAGCCCGCGTCCTCTGAATGACACTGTCTTGTCTGCAAATGGACAGATATGTTAGTTACAAACAGCATAATTATGAAGTGGAAAGAAGTTTATACACCTTTATTGCTTAGCTAAACTACATGATAAACACTTTCTAAAACATGAAGGAGAAATATGACTAAAACACAGCAGTATTATGGTAACTTGTAGACCGGTATTACCGGTAGCAAATACAGGTCTACAATCTGTCTTTGTACCTTTCTTGTTTTCTTTTGTTGTTGCAGTGAAATACTGAGAGACCTGGGCGTGCCCAGTGTGCTCAATCTCACAGGGCATGAGGTGGACCGGGGCTTTTTCTGCCCGCTTTAGTGAGGACAGGTGGAGACAAGTAACACTGGCATTACAGGACATCCTGCAACCAGAAGACAAGAGAGGAGAAATTAACCCTCATTTCTCTTTCAACATGAAGTCATTTCAGGCTTGATTACTGATCAATTTCTAAGCTATAGGAACTGTTTCTAATTTTCCATCTACAACATGAAGCTGTGTGGAAAATAAATGCAAAAATCAGGGACAGTTTCAGATTCGGCCTGCAAAACAAAACCAAAAATAAAACGTATCAGTCAGTTTCTCCAAGTCCAGCAGTTTTAAATGTTATTTTCCATTTTGTCTGATGCTTGTTTTAATTTTTAACTTTAATGAGTTAAAACATTCAGCTGTGAGATTCATTCCCTACTTTAAGACATATTATTTAATTTATGCCACTCTCGCATTGCCATATTTTGTACATGTACACAGTTTCAGTACTGTATACGAAGGTGAAAACCATACAGAGCCTATCAACACCTCAAACCAACACTAAAGCATGGTGATGAGTTGGGCTTTACTGGAAATGTATCTTTACTCATTCCAGAAACAGTAAACGGGAAAGACCGAATCATTTCAATGATCGACTTTTACGTAAAACCCCTGAAATAAAACAGGGTGCACTTTCTTCTTTTTTTACTATGACTGAAGCTGCTGCTGGATCTGATGCTTCGCCTTGGTGAAATACAAAAACCACGGCTTATTAAGTAAAGACGAAGCAATATTTGTTTCACTCAAATATCGCTAAACTGCAATGGAAAAGATTTGTACAGAATAAAACAATTATTACCTTCCTTCTGTTTCCCAAATGTAACATGAAATGTAAACATGGACCGTTTCCTACGGTTTCCGCCAGCTGTCTTCTTCTTTTCACTAAAACATATTTTGGCGCGGTGTTTCGGTTCAGACAGCGGATACTGCCCCCTGCTGGTCTGAGGAGGCATTATTCTAATCTTCTACTGGACCCTATGGTAGGAGGTGAATCTGCTTAACTTGTTTTGAGACAACATGGAAAGTTTAGCTTTTTCCTAATTGTTCCCGTTTAGATTTTAGGTTGAGAGTAGCATCATAACTACTGTGAATATTACGTGAGGTAAACTAATCACCTAAAGGATCAAATTTTCTTAGACTACTGCACTGCACAAACACCCTTCATTTTCTCGATTTCCGCTTCCAAATCTCCAGACTTTTTATTTGCAATATTTTAGAATTATTACATGTTTTGGAAGGACTTTTAAAGTTCTTTTGCTGATTTTCCAGCTTCTCACTCATTTGTTTGTCCATTTTCAGAAAAATATTTCTAAAACTTCATACCTCAGCAGACCATGTGTTTATGCAATAAAACAACATATCAAATTCCAGTTTTAAATTAAATCTTTAGACAAGGCAAGTTTAGTTGTTGAGGATCATTTGCACAAAGTGCTTTGAGAGGAAAATAAATGAAGATAAACAAATACAAAGGAATTAATTTAACATATAAAATACACAATGAAAATTTAAAAACAATTATATAAGGTATGAATAAAAATGTGACAAAAACAATGTCTTGTGCTATGGATCTTTTGTATGGACAGAAATATTATTTGAAAATAGTTGTATGTCATCAACATTAAACCCAGATCAAAGTTTGTGATGAATTGCAATTAAGATGTATATTATTGAAAAACTTTAGGTTCTTTTTTTACCCATAGCAAGTCATAAAAACAGTTTCTTCTCATGTATTTAGCAATAGAAGAGAAAAATTACAGTTGTATGCTTAATGTTTAATTTTAAGGATTAGTTAGTCCTGCAAGATGGTCTAAAACCCTCTTCTAAGAAAAAAAAAACTAAAATTCCCCCAAAGGTTAAGGACAAAGCTTCTTTTCTTTGTGTTACTTGCCAGAGGGAGTGTAACAAACTAACTGTGCAGAGTAGCAACATTTCCTTGGGTTTCTATGTCATAATATCACTAAAAGATGTTTTTGTTTTTTTTCTACAATTCCCCCACCAAATTAATCAACTGGAGCATAAAACAAGGCTCCTCACAGGACTGGATTATACCGTGACAGCCATCATGCAATGCTGCAACCTCTAACTATTCCAGTCAGGGTGACCAATCTGTGTTTGAACTGAAGGATCTTACATTAAACTGAACTTGTCTGATTTGTACTGAAAAAAAAACTGAACAAAACCAAAATACACTAAGTATATTAAATCAGATGTATTCAGATGTGTTCTGTGACTTTCTTATGTATTTCTACACACCTGAGTCAAATAATCAGGTTGTTAGCAAGACTGGAGAACTTGACTGCATACTGAGGAACTAATTCAGCCATTTGATTCATGTGTGTTGGACCAGGCACACATATAAAAGTTGCAGGACAGCAGCTTGAGAACTGAAGTTGAAGTCTGTTCTATTAAACCAAACTGTATGGTAGTGAACTATAAATTACTGAACTGGTCTGCAAACTAAGCTGAGGTCATTACGCTGTGCTATATTAAGCTGAACTGAACTGCACTGCCCTGAAGTGAACTGAACCAAACCGAACTGAACTGAACTTATTGACATTAACTTGAACTAAACTGAACTAAACTTTGCTCTACTGAACTGAAATGAATGATGCTCACTTGAAACTGAATTGTGAACTGATAAACATAACTAAGTTGAAATTTACTAAACTGAACTGATCAGAACTAAGCTGAACTGAACTTCACTGTAGGGAACTGAACTTTGAACTAAACTATAATAAATGTGTACAGTAAAGAACTGAAGTAAACATTATTTACTGAACTGATTCAAATCAAACTGAACTGTATCACTGAACTGAAAAGAGAAACTAATGTAACATGTACAAAAGGAATCAGCTTAAAAACAGAGCAAATCAAAATGATTTGTCTTGGACTGAATAATTACTGGATTGAATGCAGGTGAGAGAACGAGGAACAGAACACGTGATCAGATGGCAACCAGAGAAATAAAATCAGAAAACCAAACAGAAATCAAAATCAGATGAAGGGAATAATAATAAGTCAAAAAGAACAAGAAATGAAGCACAAGAATGTGCTTCATGTGGGCTGGGCTAAACTTCATCCAATGACAGATTTTTAAAGCCCTGATGATAAGACATGTAAAGGAGTCGTTTCTGCATTTCACCAAAATCACTGCAGACGGAGAGACTTCAGGGAGCGATTTCCTAACAACTCTCAGTCGGCCAACAGGAACCAGAGGTGAGTTTCTTAAGGAAGGGAGAGGACAGCTGCAGGGCTTCTGCTGCTGCTTACCCAATAGATAAATGTTTTTACAGCTTTGAGTTTAAAGAGAACAGCATCAGGAACTTAACGTTTTGACTTCATAATAATTTCTAACTCTTTTAGAAACTGTATCCAACTGAAGTTAATCAAACTTAGGACTGACCCTCAAACTTTAAAATACATCAGTTTCAAAAACAGTTGTTCATGATTACAGTCCAAAGCCGTTTCAGGCTTTACTTCCACATATGTTTATTTAACTCTTTACTGTTTAACTGCTTAACAGGCTTTGTGGTGAGTATTTTTCATTGTGTGTTACTTTCTTTTTTATTGGTTGAATCGTTATTTACTGGTTTTGTGCAGCGTTTTGTGATAGTTTGTTACAGTTCGAAGTCATCTGATGTGAACGGGCCCACATTGTGACTCAGATTGGACTCGGTGGTTTTTGCTAATCTCATTTCTTTGAATTTTAAAGCTTGTGCCCTTAATTTGTAATTTCATTTGCTACACCTTTTGTTTTCTGGTTCATGTGCAGTGCTTTCTGTCCTAATTTCCAAGAAAATCTGGAAAAGTTCAGACATTTTGAATATTCAATGTCACTTGATGTTTTACTGGGTCATTTGGGCTTCTTGCAGTTAACTCAGTTTGCCAAAATGTCCTGTTTTTTTCAGGTGTAATGGATCAGGAAAGCCACCTGTCCTCAGAGGAAGAAGTTGGAGAACCTTCTGTCATCATCGGTCTGGTTCTGTCGCGGTTTCAGCATGCAGTGGTCCTGTGGTTCTCCAGGGCAAAGCGCAGACTCCTGCAGGGGTTCACTGTGTTCTCCACGGTACTTCTGCTCCTCTGGATCGCAGCTTTTTTATACGGGACCTTCTACTACTCCTACATGCCCAAAGCGGCTTTTTCTGCACCGGTGTACTACTACTACAGGTGGGTGCGGTGGGTTTGGTGTGACGCAGAGAAGACGTGAGCTTCTTGTTCAAATTTCTTTTCTTATCACAGGACAGACTGCGAATCGCCATCAGCTTTCTGGTGCTCTTATCCTGTGGCCAACGTCTCTTTGATGACAAATAGGAAACATGTAGGTACACAAAATGACCATCTGTAGCATTTCTTGCACTGCCATCCAAAATTATTCATACATCTTGAAATTTTCCATCTTCTGTTATGTGACAACCACAACCTTCAATGTATTTTAATGTTTGTGTTTTGTTTTGTGAAAATGCAACAAAAAGTAGTGAATAAATACGAAGCAAGCTGCACAGTGGTGCAGTTTGCAGCCCTTGTTGTCTTGCAGTAAAAAGGCCTAGGTTTGAAGCCTGGGGTCTTCCTGCACAGAGTTTGAATGTTTTAGTTCTGCTCAACTCTGGTTAACCCAAATAGCATCTAGAACTTAAATAATTACTGATTTGTGGAATTTATCAAAAGATCATCATCTCTTGCAGGTGCTGACATTTGGCCAGGTGTATCGGATGTATTTGCAGCTGGAGATGCCCGACTCACCAACCAATCATGAGGTGGGAATGTTCATGATCAAAACCACATGCTTCTCTCAGGATGGAGGCCAAGTGGCTTCCTCTGCTCGCACTGTAAGCTGCTGTCACTTCAATTTTCAAACACACTTTCTGCTTGAAAATGATCACTCTCTGCAGTGAATCTCAAAGCGCTGTGTTTCTCAGGCAAGCCAGCTGCAGAAGGCCTCCAGCTCTCGCTTTGTGAGTACAGCACTGACGCATAATAACAGAGTTAGATGAGTTCGGCGTGTGCAGAGCTCTGCTGGGACAGACGGCGATCTCGGTGTATCACTCTGACACCAGATTGAATGTCACAGATATGACGTATATAAACACTGACACTACAATCCATGCTTAAATGCAGTTTTCTAATGCCAACCAATGTCACTGAAGATTGCACATAAATTCTATACAAGGATCCCAGTTGGTTTGAGGATAAGTAATAAATGATGTGTAGTGGAAAGCTTTTATGACATCCACAACTTTCTCTGCATTTTGCTTCCAACCAACCAGATTTTCTTATCTTTTAAAGAAGGGCTGATCAATAATTGCAGGGTTTCTCAAAGTCTTTCAAAACTGCACCCCTTTTCGATAGCTGAATTCAAGAACGAACATAAAGTAAAATTGCACAACAATTTAACAAAGTGATTCCCAAAGATGGATTTGATAAAAAACCAGGCATACAATTTATGATCCACTGAAGAATGATGCATCTCTCAGGACTGATGTTACTTTTGTCCTTCACTTCTCAATTCTCGTCATTTTTTTTTTTTTTTTTGAGCAGTCGTTAGGAGGGAACTAAATTGTAAGTAATTGGTGAGGTTTAAAGTTTTCCACATTCATTCTGGATGGCATCATGCGAGCTCATCCCTGCTAGCATTCATTAAACTAACCCAATCAGCTTTGTTTGATTTTTACTGCTGGGCACTGATACTCCTTTATATGTGCCAGACACATTTACTGACACTTTTTACTGTGTAAAAAGTCTTAAAATTAATTCATCCTGTTCTTGCAACAGAAGAATCTCACACTGGACAATCTACTGTAATCCTTAATTTGTGTTCAGGTCTCTGTTTAGTGTGGAGACAGTCTTTCTAGCAGAATGTCTCAACAGGTAAACTCACAGTTTGAGAGTTGCAGCAAATT